AATTAGACACTGAACTAACAGATACTGAAACCACGTACTTTGATGTATTTTGACTAAATTATACAACATGAGGGTGTTCCTCAGGAAATAGACTTGGAATTCATGTATCCACAAATCAAGTCTTAAGCCCAAAACAATCTGTTTCAAATGGGGAGTGTGGGAGGGGGGGGAGATATGTCCTAGTTACTGCCACAAGGCCCTATCTCCCACCACACATCATATAATATTTTATATATATATATATATATATATATATATATATATATATATATATATATTATATAATATAATTATATATAATAAGGACAGAAACTAATTTTTTCAATTACAGCTGACATTCAATATTATATTAGTTTAAGATGTATAGCATAGTGGTTAGACATTCACGTAACTTAGGAAGTGATCCCCCTGATAAGTCTAGTACCCACCTTTCAGCAGTTATTACAATATTATTAACTATATTCTCTATGCTGTACTTTATATCCCATGACTGTTTTATACCTGCTAATTTGTACTTCTTAATCCCTTTACCCAGTCCCCCAACCTCCCTCACACCTGACAACCATCCGTTTGTTCTCTGTATGAGTTTCTGTTTTGATTATTCATTTATTTTGTTTTTTAGATTCTACATATACGTAAGTGAAATCATATGGTATTTATCTTTCTCTGTTTGACTTATTTCACTTAACCTAATATCCTCTAGGGCCATCCGTGTTGTTGGAAATGGTAAGATTTCATTCCTTTTTATGGCTGAGTAATATTCCATTGTATATATGTACCACAACTTTTTTATCCATTTGTCTATCAATGGACACTTAGGTTGCTCCCATATCTTGGCTACTATATATGAAACGGCCTTCTTTGTCTCTTGTTATATATAGTCTTTGTTTGAAAGTCTATTTTGTCTTAAATAAGTATTGCTATCCCAGTTTTTTTTTTTTTATTTCCATTTGCATGGAATAACTTTTTCCATCCCTTTGTCTGTGTGTACATTTTGATCTGAAATGAGTCTCTTGTAGGCAGCATATGTAAGGGTTTTGTTTTCTTATTCATTCAGCCACGCCATGTCTTTTAATTGGGGCATTTAATCCATTTATATTTAACATAATTATTGATACGTATGTAGCTACTGTCATTTTAATATTCATATTTTTTACCTTTTTTCCCCCTTCTTCTTCTTAAAGAAGTCCCTTTAACATTTCTTGTAATGCTGGTTTGGTGGTAAGGAACTCCTTTAGCTTTTCTTTCCCTGGGAAGGGCAGGTTCTTCTTAATACAAAGTTTATAAGATGCCCTTAAGAGTCAACCCATTTGGTGTCCTCCCCTTTTTATTTCATTCCTAGAATGAGGAGGTACTTGAGGACTGAAAAGCAAAGGTCTCGGAAAAGCTGTGTTTTCACTTGTAGATGGAAATCAGTGTGATAAAGACTCCTTAAAACCTCTCAAATCAAAGGAAAGAAAATCTAGTAATGATGACTAGTTCCCACAAATCTTGATCTGATTAATTAAAAAGCTTTCAGTGGGAGGCAGGCAGGATGCGTTGGGGATATGATGTTGCCCATCAAGCTTACAGTATCTTTCCTAAAGGACAATCGTATGAAGGTGTCTTTTGGAAATGCTAGCATTTTAGATTCCCTTCATTCCTGTCCACCCACCCTATGCCCCTAAACAAAGAATCAGAGTTATGGGAATGTTAAGAGGCTTACACTTTGCCACAGAGTATCTATTTTCATCCTGCCTGGCTGTGGGCTTATGGTTTCTCACACATGAACTACCCAATGTGATCCAGGCACAAGGAAAGTTCCAACCCTAACTTGTCATAGAAAATATCCTTCTCTACTTCATATCCACTTCAGAGATCTTGAAACTTCTCTTACCTATTCCTCAAAAGAAAGACATTTATTTATTTCACTAATTATATTACTAAACTCTAAATAAAGAAAAAGAAAATGGACCCACTACTGATGATTTTGTAAGGGAGAATACAATAATTTGACCATATCCCCTTGCATTTCTTCAGGTTAAAATACTCCAGTGCAGAATACCTTGAAACTCTTTTATTTGTATCCCTTTAATTTTATCACATCTTTTGAACACTGCTTCATTAGCTTTCAGCATTTTCCTTTATATGTAAATGGAACCTGAAATTGTGTTTTCTTTTCTTATAACTCAGGTGCTGCTGTCAAGAGCTCAGCCAAATACAAGAAAACAATACTCCTTCAGTAAATGGAAGCTAGGAGAGGCAGAATATAGTGTATATTATTTTATTTACCTCTCAAAAATTTTAAAGTTTGTTTTAAAAGAGGAAAATTAATTTGACTCCTCCTGGCTAAAAGATTGCTTGTACTAATAAGATAAAATAATTCTCTAAGAATTGGCATAAAAGATGCCTTAAAGTTGCCATAAAATCTTTACACCAATTAATAATTATCTGCAGTAAGAAAAAATCATCTCATTGCTACCCAGCTACCATATTGGCACTAAATATAAGACATGTCATCAAAAATAAAATTGTACTTCTACTGAATTCCTCTGCATATCACTGATGTTTCTAACATATAAAGAATTCCTATAGTAATTCTTTTTTTTCCTTGTAAATTAAATGTTATTTTACAGGAAATTTTAGGTTTTCTTCAACATCCAAGTAAGGTGAAGGTGATATGATACATGAGAGAAGTATACTCATGTTCACAGCGGTATTATTCATAATAGCCAAAAGATGGAAGCAAGTGTTCACTGATGGATGAACGGATAAACAAAATGATGTGTATACATAAAATGGAATATTATTCAGCCTCAAAAAGGAATGAAATTCTCACACATTCAACATATGGATGAACCTTGAAGACACCCTGGTAAGTAAAATAAGCCAGACATAAAAAGACAAATGTCTTACATGAGGAACTTACATGAGGAACCTAGAGGAGGCAAACTTATAAGAGACAGAAAATAGAATGGTGGTTGCCATTGCTGGGGGGAGGGGAGTTAGTGTTTAATGGGTGCAGAGTTTTAATTTGGGAAGATGAAAAAGTTCTGGAGACGGGTGGTGGTGGTGGCAGTACAACAATATGAATGCATTTAATGCCATTGAACTATACACTTAAAAATAGGTAAAATGGTAAGTTTTGTGTTATGTATATTTTCACTGAAAAAAAAAGCAGCAGCACCCAGTTGTTGCTTTAAACTCTAGTAAGAAGCCTAATATATATAGGTAGATGTGAAGCTACTGTGGCAGAAGCAGGAGACGGCGTGCCAGGATGTGTCCGCGTCCTCGCTGCTGGAACCGCCTCGCTGCCTCCTGGAGCATGGACTCCACAGAGATCCAGGACCATCACAGGGAGGACCTCAGCTCCTTCTAAGGTGCAGATGCACTGCTTTCGTTATTCTTAAGGACAAGGAGTTAAAATATTACTCCTGGCTCCATTTCTAGGAGGAACTTAGCAAGAAGGAAAAATGCCATCACCACCTGGCCTTGGGCCAAATGTCAACATTGAGTTATTTTTACAGAAATCAATTTATATCCCAGTGGCAGGGGGGAAATATCAGAGAAAAGAGCAATATTAAATCACTGTCACCCATTATCATTAAGTCCCTGGCCCATTATCATTAGTGTCACACATTTTCTGAGCTTTTGCATAATAACTCAATCCTCAAAATCTGTCAAGTAGGTATGAAATAAATTGTATGATCTCCGATGTGCAAATAAATAAAACATTCAAAATTCAGTGGGCATTATCCATAGAGAAGGACCTAAGTGGGGCTGACTTCAGGAAAATCATCACTAATATTTATCAAGGATTAATTAAGACACTGGCTCACCACCTTCCATGGACTTATTAGATTTTATACTCCCAACCTGCCTGTTCCTACCATATTGGGTAGTTACTACATTATTATTCCTTTTTATAGAAGAGAATACTAAGGCTCAACAAATAAATAATAATCCCCAAATTAAATAGCTTAGTAAATGATGGACTGCACCAAAACGTCTTACTCCAGCATCCATGCACTCCATCACTATTATTCTATACCACCCATCCGGGTCCTCGACTCTGATTGTTTGGGAGAAGTCTAATCAATGCTTCTTTCAGCCTTGAAAACAAGCACAACTGATTAAGTCTCCATAGGTCCCTGTGTTCTAACTCTGAGTTGCAGTAAAACTAACAAATCAGTATTTTTATTCCTTACACATAAATACAATGAGACACTATTTCTGAGACTAAGAAGAGATTCCTAGATCTTTTACAACCCTATAAAAATTTGTCTTAAAAAATATCCTCAAGATCACTAGAATGTATAGTCACATTTGGGTCATTCATTCAATGTCTCTTTTCTGTAGGCCTAAATAATCTGCTGATGGACCGAGTGTCAGTCATTTCCTATCCTTTTTTGATTGTTTCTTGTGAACTTTCTCCAAGGACGTCTGCTTTATCCTCCAGAAACTGGAGAGAAGAGAAATTCTTTGTGGTTTGTCAACAGGGCATTCAGTCTGCAGGGCTGCCCCCATGGGATTCAAGGGCTCTGGGCCAATTGAAACAAATATTAATTTGCAAAAACATCAGGCACAGGCTCCAACTGGACAACTCCAAAAGACAGGCAGGGGAAGAAAGGGGCAGAGTCATCGCAGGGCTGTCAGCAATGGTGTGAGTTATTTCCACCCCTCGTCAGAGGCTCCCAGAGCCCATCTCCTTCACCAAAACCATGAAGTGGCTTCTTTAAAAGCACCAAGCATTATATATACTAATTCTTGCAACAAAACCTATATATGATGTGGGTGTTTTATTGACTTTAAAGGTTAAGAACCTAAACACCAGCTCTTCATACATGTATCCCTTTCCGTTTTGACTGATACCCTAAGTAGAGACCCAGCACTCTGCTAACTCCGGGGACGCTGTTTCTCTCTCTTCCATTACAGACCTGATTCAGTGGGACCACCTCACAATAGGGCCAGAGTGTGCATGTTCCTCTCACCTGAGAACTGGGGATAAAGGAGGTTCTTACCGAGTTCTCCTTCAGCTGTAGCCCCTCCCCATTGGGAAGAGAGGACCGTCTCTTGGTTGAGTTCCTGTTGGGGGTTGAGGAAAATGCCCCAGCTTTTTTCTTCACAGTGAGCACTTCACAGCTAGCTTGGTCTTCATTGTGTGTGCTCTTCCCAGCATTGATAACCCTGGAGAAGAAGCCAGAAAAAAATGGTCAGACAGAGTGATTTCCGGAAAGCTGAGAGCTTAGTCTCAAGAGTCAGCCAAGGCAGTCTTCACAACTGACCCAAAATTAATGCAAAGGACCTAATTTTATGTGGCATACATTAAAGCACTTACTGAAGTATTGTTTTGAGCTCAGCTCACCTTCGCAGGTGTCTGATAGATGTGATCAACTCCACCGAACCATCCTAGTCAAAACACACGAAGCCTTTCATCACTCTTTTGGTAATTATAAGGAATCTAGATCTGAAGGCTCAGGGAATTGTCACATTTCTCCAAGTGATAAAGAGCGAAACTACCATTAATCTTATCAAAGAACAAGGCAGTAATTGACAGCACACAGAACACTGTAAAATCCAAGGGAACCGAGAACCATATTTCACTGCTGCCATGCCCACTTTCACTTTGCACAGAGAAGTGAATGGATCAAAGGTTCACTCTTTTTTAAACGATCTTTAATCCTGTATCTCTTCTCCTGTAGAATGCTCATCATATTGTATCGTCACCCCGGGCTATAGGGCACTCTGATTTGGCCACATAATCACATCATGGCATGCTGACACTGCACTGGCCTAAATATTGCAAGCATAGGAATACTTCCACTAAACATAATGCTACATCATTCACATACCTTTTTCTATATCGGGTGACTGCAGACTGAGCCCTTGAGTTTCAGTACCATTTGTTTATTAATTAAACAGCAGCTAAAATAGATTTCCAGAAAGAGCTCTCCTTGATTTGTTATTGGCTGTTTTTTTTTGTTTTGTTTTGTTTTTTACCACAACGTTAACAGTGTCACAGGCAGTGATAGAGTGAGTGTAAAGGATATAAAACTCAATGGCAAGGAAAGAAAAGATGCTGGTTTTTTTTATGGTAAGATAATAGAAGTCCACTCCATAAGTGTGGTATGTACACTTCTCTATTAATCTGGTGGTACTCCCTCCAAAAAAGTAGATGATGATTATTTTCACATGACTTTTTATATGTTTAAATTCTGAAATAATTATAGACTCAGAGAAAGCTGCAAAAATAGTACTGTACAGGTGTACCCTCCACCCAACTTCCCCCAATGATAACATCTTACATAACTACAGTACAATATCAAAACAAGCAACTGACACTGATATAATACCATCAACCAGATGGAAGATCTTATTGAAATTTCACCATTTTTTATATCAAATGGCTTTTAGTTTTGAAAACTGTATTGATCTCCATAAGCCAACACATACACGCCACAACCAAGCAGGAAATGAAGAGCAAATTGAGATTTGCGTACTGGAAAATCTAAGGAAGGGTGTTTCAAGCAGTCTTCTGCCAAACCTTGGGATTCTATGGAGGTGCTTCACATATTTTAACAATTACTTTAAATTTCTTTCTTAAATGTATAAGCATTTTGAAAACAAAACTCAATAATTTAAAAGTTCATTCCCATCTGTTCCTTGTGAACAAATGCATGCCAGTTCATAGATTTTGGGCAGCTTTGGCATAAAAATCCTTCTATCCTTCCTCTTTAATTGATCAGTCTCATTTGATTGAAAGGAAAGCTGTTTTAAAAAAAATTACCATTTGCAATTACAGTTGGCCTCCATATCCATGAGTTTCGAGACTATGAATTCAACCAACCTTGGATTAAAAACAGGATTTTCAATATGCAGTTGGGAACACAGTGGAGGGCCAACTGTGTGCATTGTTCTATGCCATTTTATATAAGAAGAGATTAGACCATCTGTGGAGTTTGGTATTTGCTGGGGTCCTGGAACCAATCCCCCACGGATACTGAGGGAAAAGACCATATCAGTCGTTTATTATCTCCTCTATTTCAAATTTCTGTAGCATCAAAACTGCGTCATCATTCTTATTTGGTTTATTATAAATTTCAACTTAACCATATTTTTATAAAGAAAAGCCTACTTTTCCTCATTTTACGTATTAATTTTGTGTAACTTTTTTTTTTTTTAAAGTAGAAGCTTGCTACAGAGTTTGAAAATCGTTGCCCTAGGGGCATGTGTAAGGAGGGAATCCTTGCCCATCTCTGTGAGGTCAAATATGCCCCCGGTGTTTATCATATCTCCTTGAGAATGGGGGCAGTTTTCTGCCCCACCTTCACTCTATGGAGACATTTTCCTACGGTTTAACAATAAAATGCAATTCTTGAAAACACAATGGAGCTACTTGCATAATGTCTATTATTATTACCACACTTACTACCTGTGCTAAAAAATTCACCCCAGGCCCCACAGCCAGGAAGTGGCACAGCTGGGATTCAAAACTGAGGCCTACCACCTTGACCCCTAACTCAGCCTCTCCCTATACATGGGGACTCGCGTCAGCCTGCGTCAGGCCAAGCTGGACCGTCTGGGGAACCACAGAATCAGCAGATAGACAGGCTCAGGTCCAGGCTGGGAGAAAGGGGAATTCTCTCCTAGCTTCTCTGGCCATTGGAGGAGTCTGAAACAGGGCCCAGAGGAAGGATGAAGGATGGGTGGTTCAGGTTTGCCTGTCTCTAGAGGAGCCCATGCTGAGTCCAGGGGTTTGCAGCTGGGGCTCCTAATACAGAGCATGTATTTGACTGGAGTTTCCCTTTTACGTGCATCCTTGGAGAACAAAACCAGGCAAAGGGAGGAGGTTCAAGGCAGCACCTGCGTCTCCTTAGGCACTGGTAGTGACATCTCAAGCAACATGTTTGGGGTGGACAGTTTACTGGACAGTGATGTTACCGCATCCTCATCGTCTCCCACAGGAGCGTCTTCCTTACATACAGCTGAAGGGGAAGTTGAGTTGGGAACACCAGTTCATGACAACCGTCCTCTCCATATTCCTCTGAGCAAGAGCCTGGCTGCTATTTTCGGAACTTGGCATCACCCTGACCATTGGCACCTAAACTTATGCTGTAGTCAGGTCTTTTTTTTTTTTTTTTTTTTTTTTTTTAATAAAAACAGCATCACTGCTCTCCAATGGCTACATGCCAGGCTGACTCATCTGCCACTGCTGTTTTCCAACAGTCAACAAAGCTACTATAATTACATAAATCACGAATCGCTGTCCCCTAAAAGTGCTTTATCTCTCTTGGTGGATATTAAACTCCAAAGTTGACTTAAGTTCAGCAAGAGACTCTAGAAACTTTATTTTATGCCCGAGAAACCCCGGGGCCCTGGAAGACTGTGACTTGCACAAGGTCACACCGCTAAATACAGCAGAGCTGTGAACACACTTCTGAGCTCGCAGCTCTTTCTGTTTCAGTTCTCAGTGGTTTTATTTTCCTGTTCTGTGTCTATGCTAATCAGCACTTGGTTCAGAGAGCTGTACTGCAATGACTCATCAAAGCCAGAGGACTGTGAAAGAACAATCACGGGTGGCCTTACTTTGCCATTTCATGTAGAATACAGCTTGTGAATGACATAATGAAATATCACAAAGTCAGAAATGGCAACGCAGTAGGAAGAGAGCAGCCCCAACCCTGTAAAAACCTATTTGGTCAGATATCTGATAAAATCATATTAATTTAAAGTCCCTGCCTTTTTTTAAAAAATACAACTCTTATCTCATATGTTCTATTATTTCAAATCCCTTCTCCATACAGCTTTAGGAGAAAGTCCTGATTCTTCTCAATTTACTTTGCTTTAAAAAGCTTGACCTTTATCAAGTTGCACAGAGGGTGCCAAAAAAAGTATACACATTTTAAGAAAGGAAAAAACCTGTATCAAAATTATAATGCTCAATATATACCAATAACAAAAGATAAATACAAGTCACATTTTTTTGGCACCCCCGGTATATTTGATTTTGTTCTTCAAAGGTAAATGCTTTGTTCACTAAATGTAAATAAAACCTTTAATTCCTCTAAAAGTAAATTGAAAAAAACTTTGCTTCCCAAGTTAAGGAGCATCATGCTGTTAATAGATTCAATAATTTCTTTAAATGGAAGCAGCTTATTTCAGTAGCTAGATTCTTTTCTTGTCTAACATTCCAGCATAAAGTCAGCACCATCTTGAGCTCAACAGAAGCGACTATAACACGTGTATTCCCTACCTAAACAATACCTACCTGTGATGCTTATTTTTAAGACTATAAAACAAAATGCTGGTGGACCATATCTTTGGTGACCTTATTTTTCAATTTCCCACAAAGTGGGAAAACAGCTTCCTTGACACTAAACTGGAGGCAATAAAGCCCAGTGGTTAAGAACACGGGCTATTTCCCCAGAATGTAGCAACATGGCAGATGCTCAACAAATGTTTGTTGAGTGAATGAATGATTTTAGGCAGAAGTCAATTCTGCTACTTCCTAGGTATGGGGTAATTAATAATAGTATCTTACATTTGCTGAGAATTGTGTGCCAGAGACTGTTGTTAGCATTTTACATGTAGTAATTAATGAACTCATTTAATCCTCTCATCGATTCTATGAGTTAGGCACCATTATTCTCCCCATTTTAAAGATAAGTCACAGCTAGTGGATGGCAGAGAATTTGGTCAAGATACTTAACTTCAGGAAACCGCAGTTTCTTAGCAGTACTTGATGGATTAAATTCTGGGAGTTGCTAGGAGTGTGTGTGTGTGTGTGTGTGTGTGTGTGTGTGTGTGTGTGTGTGTGTTGGGGAGGACAGATTTTAGTCATCTAAATTTAAGAAAGGGTAATGTTGAAGTTAGGATTAAAATTCAGGTGAGAAATGTCAGAGGGTGAAAGGGAGGGATAGCTACTGTGTCTTCAATATGGAAAGTTCACATCCAGGTCTTTCATCTCTAAGGAGATTCATGACACATTTCCCGGGGAAGAGAGACACACGGAAAGTTAAATTCATTTATGGACTATGTAAACCTACCAACCTACCTTCAAACTAAACCATAGCTAAACCAGAGCACCAAGATGGTTTCCCTTCGTAAAACAAGTAAACACAGAATTTTAAATACTTTGAAGTAAAAAACCCTCTGGGTCTATCAGATAGACCTTGAAGCTATGACCT